CCAATCCTACATTATGTTTCTTTTTCCTGACCTAGCACTTCTAAAATTTATTCCCACGCATGTTACTCTGGTTTCTTTTGATATGAATTAGACTAATCTTTCAATTCTTTTAGTATGTAAGACAATATATACTCATCCCTTGAGTAGTGTAGGCTACTAGGAGTGGTGGGTGTGGGTCTTGAGAAAAGTCAATATTCCCATGAAAGGTAACTGCTTCAGGTGGACTCTTTACCTGGTTTATAAGTAAAAATAGACTAGTGTTTTAGATGGAGAAAGATGGTCTCCTTCTGTTGGCATGTAAAATTTTTTAAGGAGAAGGCATCATTGTACTTAAATTTATCCAAATTGACCAAAATGTTCATTTTCCAATTCTCAGGTACCATTATTTCTCAATCAGTGTCCTCACTTTTACATAAGAGATCTTAGAGGGTCATAAATTCAACTTATGTTGTAATTATGCAACCTACAAGATCAACTTTTGCAGCTGATTTTTAGGTATATTGGTTATTCAGCTATGGTTGATAAGATATTATTTTAGTGCAATTATAGAAACATCTGGTTTCCTGACATTAGCTTGAGTGAAAATTTAGAGGACCAAACTTGTACTTTTCTTTTTCTAAGTTTTTCAAGGCAGTCATATGTATTCAGTCCACCCCATGTCCTTGATGCTCTCATTTACTATCAATGTCTATTACAGTAGCCAGCTATGTGGTCTTTCATGGCCTTGCTTTAAGTAGTAATTTATTTCCATAATTTTAAGTGATAAATTTTACAATCCCTTCACCACTTCAGGCTGTAAACTACCAGCATCCCGTTTTCTACCAGTAGAGAAATTATCACTGCCTTTAGGTATAATCAGATCACAAAATAAATCCAAGACTCCTATTATTCAAGATCTGTTTCCTGGAACCATTTCTAATACAAAATAATGTAATCAGTCAGAATTTGATCAATATAAACCAAGCTTAAAATACAGGAGGGTCTAGAGAAATAAAGGTTAATGAAAGTTGTCACTAGATCTCAGAGGTAGGTAGATAGCTTTCAGGGAATTAGGAAGGTGCAGGAAATCCAGAAAGCTATTGGTTGGCACATTGCCTCTAGCCCTGAGATGAGAGATTTATAGGAGGCCCATATAAAATCTTACCCAGCCAAAGCTCATAAGAGAAGTTGTTGCCATTGGAAGAATATTGATTTTGGCCTCTTTTATACCTTCCAAACCTTGCATAATTGCCTCTCAAGGGTAAATCTACAAGACAAGTAATAACAAGTGTTGGTGAGATTGTAGAGAAAAAGAAACCTTCATTTACTGCTGGTGGGAATGTAAACTGGTACAGCCACTATGGAAAACAGTATGGAGGTTCCTCAAAAACTAATAGTGTTACCATATAACACAGCAACCCCTTTTCTGGGTATCTACCTGAAAATTTTGAAAACATTTATTTGCAAAGATATATGCACTCCTATATTCATTGCAGCACTATTCACAATGGCCAAGACATGGAAATAACTAAAGTTCATTTGGGTAAAGAAGATGTGGTTCACATATACAATGGAATATTACTCAGACATTGGAAAAGATAAAATACCTAATGCCATTTGCAACAACATAAATGGGTCTTGAGACTATCATGTTAAGTGAAATAAGTCAGACAGAAGAAGTAAAAAAACATATGATTTCACTTACATGTGGGACATAAAACTGAAACTCATAGACACAAACAACAGTATGGTGGTTACCGGAGAAGAAGGGGTGAGAGGCAGTAAAGGGTAAAGGGGGTCAAATATATGGTGACTGAAGAAGGTTTGACTTTGGCTGGTAAACACACAATACAATATACAGGTGATGTATTATAGAACTGTGCACTTGAACACTATGTAATTTTATTAAACAATGTCACACCAATAAATTTTAATTTAAAAACTGAAAAAAAAAACACCTGCTGGTAGAGTTTCTAATAAAGAATACTTTATAGGCTTCTAACTCCTGTGATAAAGAGGAAAGTGCCGCAGAAGGAAAATGACCTGTGTTGCTGAAAGACAATCCAAAACATGAGAGGAGCTATCATTCTTCAAAAACAATATTATCTACAGAGAAGACATAACAAAATCTACAAATCAGCATTTAAAAGAAGAGAATTTAATAAGGTTACTGGATAAAAGATTAATATACGAATTAAATTTTGTTTCTATATTTTAGAAAAATAGAGTTAGAAAAGCTAAAACATTTACACTGCCACATTATTATTATTTATCTAGTCATAAATCTACCAAAAGAGGTCTAACTTTCTGGAGAAAATTTCAAAATGTTATTAAAAGATGTTCAATTAGACCTAAGTAAATAGATATACTATGTTCATAAATAGGAAGACTCAATTTCAAAACGATTCTAGTTGTCCTCAAATTGATCTATGGGTTTGATGCAATTTCAATAAAAATTCCAATATGTCTATAACTGGAACTTAATAATAAATAAGGAAGAGCAAAAGGCCAAGATAGATAAGTTACTCCTAAAAAAAGACAGGAAAGGATTTTCTCTACCAGATACTAAACCTATACTAATTAATTCAGTAATTAATTCGTGCTGCTACAGATTAATATATCAGTGGAACAGAGTAGAAAGTACAAAAACAGATCCATGCATACATGGGATATTGAAATTTTACAGAGATAGCTTTGTAGATCAATGGGGAAAAGATTACATTTTAAAATAAGTTGTGCTGGTATTTTTTGTCATTCATATAAAAAAATTAAATTGAAATGTTACCTCACACTATAAAAAAAAAAAAATCAAATCCAGATAGATCAAGGTTCTAAATGTGAATGGTAAAATTTTGTATGTTTTGAAGACAGTGTTAGAGAATATCTTCTTGGCCTCAGGGTAGGGATGATTTTCTTAAACATATTATAGAAAGCATAAGTTACTAAAATTGGTACATTTGACTGCATTATAATTAAGATATTCTGTTCGTCAAACAGATCACAACAACAAGCCCCAAACTGAAATGATATTTGTCACACAAACTGACAAAGTGTTAGTATTTACAATATATGGAACTTTTATGAATTAATAAAAGAAAGACCAAAAAAAAAAAAAAAAAAGAAGAAA